AGCAAGCCAGGTAAAGAACATTGGCATGCCATAACAAGAGTTATGAGGTATTTACTTGGTACAAAAACCTATGGCTTATTTTATAAAAAATATCCTGTTGTACTCGAAGGCTTTTCTGATGCAGATTGGAACACTTTATCTGGTGCTTCCTGTTCTACTACAGGTTATATTTTTACTTTGGAAGGTGGTGCTATTTGTTAGAAATCGAAAAAGCAAACAATAATTGCTAACTCTACCATGGAGGCTGAGCTAATTGCTTTAGCTTCAGCCAGTGAGGAAGCGAATTGGTTGAGAGATTTATTATTTCAAATTCCTTATTTTGAAAAACCAATTCCTCCTATTTTAATTCATTGTGATAGCACTGCTGCAATTGGTAGAGTACAAAATCGTTATTACAACGATAAATCCAGACCTATAAAGAGAAAACATAGTACTATCAGATCATATTTGACAAGCGGTACCATTAATGTTGATTATGTTAAATCTTGTGATAATCTTGCAGATCTACTGACTAAGGCCTTAGCAAGAGAAAGGGTCTGGAGAACATCGAGGGGGATGGAATTGAAGCCCATAAGCTCATAAGTCATATTTGAGGAAACCCAACTTGAGGACTAGAGATCCTATAACCAGGTTCAATGGGAAGAACGAATCATATGAGGGCTTGGTTTAAAATGCACTATTTTTATTATTATTATTCCATCCCTATAGTGCGAGTGCATTTATCCTGTAATGATTTCTGAGGTTGAGTTTTATTAACTCTTAATGAAAATCTGTAGCTCGTATGAGTGGGGTGTTAGAGTTACAGGAGCACCCTTGACAGATTTTACCTATGTGAGTGTGGAAGTAGGCCGCTTTCTATGAGAATTGGGCTTGTTTTAAAAAACACTCATGAAAACCGGGATAGCACAAGGCCGTAATGTGCTGGATAATAAAGCTCATGTCAACACCTTGATTATTATGTGTAAGCCGTGATATTTAATTTTCCTAAAGCAGTCATAGTTCAAGTCTGAGACCACTACTGTCTCTGGAGTAAAGATCGTTGTTTTGCTAAGTGGAGGTTAAATGCA